TGGGGTGCAGGCTTCCGCTGGGTGGCACTTACCTCAGGCGGCTCCCGGCTGGCGCAGCGGGGCTAAGCCCCTGCCTGCCACAGCCCCACACCACTCCTGGAAGGAGCCAACACGCCCCTGCAGCCCCTGGGGCGGGGCATGTTGCTCTGCATGCTGCCTGTTTCTGCAGGCACCACCCCTGTAGCTCCCATTGGCTGTAGTTCCCCATTCCTTGACAATGGGAGCTGTGGGGGCAGTGCTTGTGGGCAGGAGCAGCACGCAGAGACCCCAGCCTCCCCTGGGGCTGTGCTGGCTGCTTTTGGGAGTAATCTGGAGCCAGCGCAGGCAGGGAGCCTTCCTGAGGCTGGAGATCACGATCGACTGGTAGAGTCTCCAGGATCAACCAGTCAATCACGATCGACCGGTTGGTGACCACTGTTCTAAAGAGACCTGTACGTGCACATGATTTCCCTTCAAAGAATCGTGTCTGCAAAACCTTTAGGACGTGTTTAGTTTCATAGAGTTTAAGGCCAGAAGGGATCATCAGATTATATAGCCTTATCTCCGTCACAGGCCATCTGTGGTGTCATGAATCATTAATCATAGATGCACTTCAGGGAAAAATAGTTCTTTCAGCAGAAAGACCGAGGAGTACTTGTGGCACCTTAGAGACTAACATTTATTTGAGCATAAGCTTTCGTGGGCTAAAACCCACTTCGCTGGATGCATGCAGTGGAAAATACAGTAGGAAGAGATCATAGAATATCAGGGTTGGAAGGGACCTTAGGAGGTCATCTAGTCCAACCCCCTGCTCAAAGCAGGACCAATCCCCAATTAAATCATCCCAGCCAGGGCTTTGTCAAGCCTGACCTTAAAGACTTCTAAGGAAGGAGATTCTACCACCTCCCTAGGTAACGCATTCCAGTGTTTCACCACCCTCCTAGTGAAAAAGTTTTTCCTAATATCCAACCTAAACCTCCCCCACTACAACTTGAGACCATTACTCCTTGTCCTGTCCTCTTCTACCACTGAGAATAGTCTAGAACCATCCTTTCTGGAACCACCTCTCAGGTAGTTGAAAGCAGCTATCAAATCCCCCCTCATTCTTCTCTTCTGCAGACTAAACAATCCCAGTTCCCTCAGCCTCTCCTCATAAGTCATGTGTTCCAGACCCCTAATCATTTTTGTTGCCCTTCACTGGACTCTCTCCAATTTACCCACATCCTTCTTGTAGTGTGGGGCCCAAAACTGGACACAGTACTCCAGATGAGGCCTCACCAATGTCGAATAGAGGGGGACGATCACGTTCCTCGATCTGCTGGCTATGCCCCTACTTATACATCCCAAAATGCCATTGGCCTTCTTGGCAATAAGGGCACACTGCTGACTCATATCCAGCTTCTCGTCCACTGTCACCCCTAGGTCCTTTCCGCAGAACTGCTGCCTAGCCATTCGGTCCCTAGTCTGTTGCGGTGCATTGGGTTCTTCCGTCCTAAGTGCAGGACCCTGCACTTATCCTTATTGAACCTCATCAGATTTCTTTTGGCCCAATCCGTCTAGGTCCCTCTGTATCTTATCCCTGCCCTCCAGCGTATCTACCACTCCTCCTTGTTTAGTATCATCCGCAAATTTGCTGAGAGTGCAATCCACCCCATCCTCCAGATCATTTATGAAGATATTGAACAAAACCGGCCCCAGGACCGACCTCTGGGGCACTCCACTTGACACCGGCTGCCAACTAGACATGGAGCCATTGATCACTACCCTTTGAGCCCGATATATACACACACACATGCACACCAAGAACATGAAAAAATGGGTGTTGCCATACCCACTATAACAAGAGTGATCAGTTAAGGTGAGCTATCAGCGGGGTGGGGGAGGGGGACGGGACATAGACAACTTTTGTAGTGATAATCAGGATGGCCCATTTCCAACAGTTGACAAGAACGTGTGAGTAGGGGGAAAAAATAAGCATGGGGAAATAGTTTTACTTTGTGTAATGACTCATCCACTACCAGTCTTTATTCAAGCCTAATTTAATGGTGTCCAGTTTGCAGGTTAATTCCAATTCAGCAGTTTCACGTTGGAGTCTGGTTTTGAAGTTTTTTTGTTGTAGTATTGCCACTTTTAGGCCTGTAATCGAGTGACCAGAGAGGTTGAAGTGTTCTCCGACTGGTTTTTGAATGTTATAATTCTTGACGTCTGATTTGTGTCCATTTATTCTTTTACATAGAAAACTGTCCGCTTTGGCCAATGTACATGGCAGAGGGGCATTGCTGGCACATGAAGACATATATCACATTGGTAGATGTGCAGGTGAACGAGCCTCTAATAGTGTGGCTGATGTGTTTAGGCCCTATGATGGTGTCCCCTGAATAGATAAGTGGACAGAGTTGGCAACGGGCTTTGTTGTAAGGATAGTTTCCTGGGTTAGTGGTTTTGTTGTGTGATGTGTGGTTGCTGGTGAGTATTTTGCTTCAGGTTGGGGGGCTGTCTGTAAGCAAGGACTGGTCTGTCTCCCAAGATCTGAGAGTGAGGGATTGTCCTTCAGGATAGGTTGTAGATCCCTGATGATGCGCTGGAGAGGTTTTAGTTGGGGCTGAAGGTGATGGCTAGTGGCATTCTGTTACTTTCTTTGTTGGGCCTGTCCTGTAGTAGGTGAATTCTGGGTACTCTTCTGGCTCTGTCAATCTGTTTCTTCACTTCAGCAGGTGGGTATTGTAGTTCTAAGAATGCTTGATAGAGATCTTGTAGGTGTTTGCCTCTATCTGAGGGGTTGGAGCAAATGTGGTTGTATCGAAGAGCTTGGCTGTAGACAATGGATCGTGTGGTGTGGTCCGGATGAAAGCTGGAGGCACGTAGGTAAGTATAGTGGTCAGTAGGTTTCCGGTATAGGGTGGTGTTTATATGACCATCGCTTATTAGCACTGTAGTGTCCAGGAAGTGGATCTCTTGTGTGGACTGGTCCAGGCTGAGGTTGATGGTGGGATGGAAATTGTTGAAATTATGGTGGAATTCCTCAAGGGCTTCTTTTCCATGAGTCCAGATGATGTCGTCATCAATGTAGCGCAAGTAGAGTAGGGGCGTTAGGGGATGAGAGCTGAGGAAGTGTTGTTCTACGTCAGCCATAAAAATGTTGGTATACTGTGGGGTCATGCGGGTACCCATCGCAGTGCCGCTAACTTGAAGGTATACTTTGTCCCCAGTTGTGAAATAGTTATGGGTGAGGACAAAGTCACAAAGTTCAGCCACCAGGTTTGCCGTGACATTATCAGGGATACTGTTCCTGACGGCTTGTAGTCCATCTTTGTGTGGAATGTTGGTGTAGAGGGTTTCTACATCCATTGTGGCTAGGATGGTGTTTTCAGGAAGATCATCGATGGATTGTAGTTTCCTCAGGAAGTCAGTGGTGTCTCAAAGATAGCTAGGAGTGCTGGTAGCATGGGGCCTGAGGAGGGAGTCTACATAGCCAGACAATCCTGCTGTCAGGGTGCCAATGCCTGAGATGATGGGGCGCCCAGGATTTCCAGGTTTATGGATCTTGGGTAACAGAATACCCCTGGTCGGAGTTCTAGGGCTATGTCTGTGCAGATTTGTTCTTGTGCTTTTTCAGGGAGTTTCTTGAGCAGATGGTGTAGTTTCTTTTGGTAACCCTCAGTGGGATCATAGGGTAATGGCTTGTAGAATGTGATGTTAGAGAGCTGCTTAGCAGCCTCTCATTCATATTCCGACCTGTTCATGATGGTATAAAAAAATTCAGTTTTTTCAGAGTAGATGTAGTGACTCCTTATTATTGGATTTCAATTTTCAGTTTTCAGGTGTATACTTTGCCACAGTGGGCTGATCTATGACATTGTTGGTGTGTCAGGACATTGCGTAAAGAATAAGTGAGCCTTAGCCCTGGAGATATTTTGGTCAATGATAAATTCTTTGAGGAACTCCAAGAAGCAGTGGAATTTTAAGGGGAGATTGAACTGTTGGTGTCATGCTTATTCCTGAGCATTGTTACTAAAGTCTTCTGTAGCTAAAAGCATAGACAATATCAGAATTATCATTAGTTGATGTGGGCATGGTATAGTGGAACCAAACGATAGGAAGGGAATAGAGAGCAGGAGACTTTTAAGGGGTGGTATAATATGTGAAAGCAAAGTTGATTGAAACTGCACTGCACTCCATCTTGCTCTGTTTAGTCCTTATCAGTTTTAAAAGACTGCTAGATTGATGGACCAGTGATAAAGTCCAGTAATTTGGAATCTGACACAGGGCTTTGGAGCTGTGCTCCGGCTCCGCTCCAGCTCCAGGCAAAAACCTGCAGTTCCGCTGCTCCGGGCTCCGGTTCCGGGCTCCTCTCCAAAGCCCTGATCTGACAGGACTAGAAATCACTGCATTCCAGCTGACAACTATATGTGGTGTGTAATGCATTCACTTCTAGCTCTGGGAGATGGAGATATGACAGTTCAAAATCTTGTGTGCAGTGTTAGAACCATGTCAGTCCCAGGATGTTAGAGGGACGAGGTGGGTGAGGTAATATCTTTTACTGGACCAACTTCTGTTGGTGAGACAGACAAGCTTTCAAGGTACACAGAGCTCTTCTTCAGGTCTGGGAATTGGGAAACATAGGCCTTGTCTACACTGGCAAGTTTCTGCGCAGTAAAGCAACTTTCTGCACTGTAACTCCTGAGGTGTATACACTGCCAAGCCACTTAGTGTGAAGAAACTGCACAGTTGTAGCACTCTAAAAATAACCCACCCCAACAAGAGGCGTACAGCTTTCTGCACCGGGGCTACAGCTCTGCCGTGCCAGTGTAGATACCGTGGCGATTACAGCACTGCAATTGGCCTCCAGGAGGTGTCCCACAATGCTTATTCTCACCTCTCTGATTATCGGTTTTGAACTGTACTGCCTTGCTTTCAGGTGACCAACCGTCATCCCCACCCTTCACGTTCCTTTGCAAATTTGAAAGTCCCCTTCCTGTTTGCTCGGTGATGTGTGCAGTGATCTCAGCACATCTTTCCAGGTGGCCATGCCTGCTCCACACACCAGCATTTGGGGAGAGGAGGCTGTGCAGTCCCAGATGCCCTCCAGCCATAGGAATTATGATACCTATGGACAGACTTCACAATGCATGATAGAAAGGGGCCATGACTGGGACACAATGCAGTATAGGAGCTGCGGAACACCTACCCAAGGTGTGGGAGGCAAACCGCCACTCCAGTGCTGCACCCACGAGCTGCTGGTTCTACGAAGAGCTGGACATGATACTCAGTGGCGACCCGACCTCCACTGCAAAGGCCCCTGTGGATACTTCGTTGGCTCGTGTGCCAGTCGAGAGTGGACTGAGCCAGGAGGAGGAAATCTTTAATGGGGAGGGGGATGCAGAGGCAGAGGATGACTCAGAGGCCAGGGATGCATGCAGCCAGGAGCTCTTCTCTACCCCGGAGGAGCCTAGTCAGTCACAGCAGTCGGATCTTGGCGAAGCACAAACAAGAAAGGAGGCCCCTGGTAAGTGAATCTGATTTTGGGAATTGCTGAAGCGAGTTGTTCTGGGCAGGAGGGTTGCAGAAAGCAGGCTTGTCTCCCACCACATGCCTAGTCTGAGCGGCAGAACAGGGTGTTGATAGATTCCCTCGCTTCATGTGAATTTCCCTCAGAGATCTCCAGGAAACTCTCATAGAGCTCCTGGGCAATCCGCTGCCGCAGGTTCCTTGGCAGAACTGCTTTGTTTCTCGCCCAATTAACGATAATTTTCCCATGCCACTTTGCCATCACGGGGAGACTGTGTGTGTGTGTAAAACCATGGCTGCACACAACAAGCTGCATAGGGGCCAGGGTGGAAGCCGCAGGTTTGGAGAAGACCCTCCCTCGGTTCCCTGCTCACCCTCAGCAGCGAGATATCTTCCATAATGATTACACCTGTGGAAAGTGTGGGGACAGGAATGATTATCAGGTGCCCCCTACAGTGCTGGCTTGCCTGGGGTCAACCAGTTAGTGACAGGTGTGTAAGTACTGGCTGTGTTTTAAAGCACTGAATCAGAGTTGTCTGTGTTGCAAACAATAATGCTTCTGTAAAATGTTGCATTTAAACTTCACAGAGATGACCTTGAGAGCCCAGTCTCCCTCTTTGTTATCAGCGGCAGGAAGGCTGCGCAGAATTAGAAAGCGGCCAAGAACTTCCTCCGTGAGGTTATGATGCACTCCACTGCTGAGAAATAGGAATTGAAGGAGTGGTGGGAATGCGAGAAGACGAACTGAAAGGAGAACGTGGCACACCAGAAAGAAGCCACAGAGTGGCTCTTAAACGTTGTGGAGCGCCAAGTGGACATGCTCCAAAGTTCTGCAGCCACTGCTAGTCATCCCAGACGTGCATCATGATGTGATCCCACCATTCAGTGCTTGTTTCCTGAGCCCAAAAGCAGTGTTCCACTGTGGTCAGCACCTCCGTGAGTGCCACAAGCAATCTCGTGTTGTAGCTACTACGCGTGGCGAGATCAATGTTGCACTCTTGCCTTTGTAGTTTAAAGAATAATTCCACTGCCCCTCATGACGTGTTGGTCAGTGCGAGCAGCATTCTTGTCAACAGCTCAGGATCCATTCCTGCAGCCAGAAAGAGGTAGGGCAGGGCGCGCAGTAAACAAACGGTTGAAAGATGGTGCCAAATGCAGATGGAAGAACAGGGATTGCTGGGATGCGAAGCAATGCGTCATGGGGCATTGGGACAGGACTCAGGATGCCCTGCAATTCTTCCCCCTTTTCTCCCCTCCAACCTCGCACCCCGACCTTCCCACTAGTCTTAGCGGCAAAAGAGAAAGAGGTGCTCTGTGGGATAGCTGCCCAGAATGCACCGCTCCGAATACCACTGCAAGTGCTGCAGGTGTGAATACACTATTGCGCAGGCAGCTGTCAGTGTGAACACACAACAGTGGTTTCTCTTCTGCACTTTCTGAGTGGCATTGTAACTGCCGGCACACTAACTTTGCCAGTGTAGACATGACCTTAGAGTGTTACAGGTAAATACAAAGGTGAAAAAGATTGTTTAGCATTCAAGGTGAAGTGGCCCATTAACACCCCTCCAGCACAACTTTAACTACCCCCGCACCCTCCCATCCATTAAACTCTCGAACACTCCCACATCAGCATCAACTTCCTGGACACCAACAATGGAACTCGACAGAAAACTATATACAGAAACCCCACGGATCACCATACCTACTTTCATAGATCCAGTAACCACCCCAAACATACCAAGAAATCTCTTATCTACAGCCAGGAGCTCAGATTCTCCTCAAAGCATGTTCTCTGGTAAGGCTAGGATATACACCTTAAAATGCTCAAAACTGCCTTCACCAAAAAAGGACACTCCACAAGAGAAGTAGATCCTATCATGGAATGGGCCTCTGAGAGAACCTGTTTTAATATAGGTTTCAGAGGAACAGCCGTGTTAGTCTGTATTCGCAAAAAGAAAAGGAGTACTTGTGGCACCTTAGAGACTAACCAATTTATTTGAGCATGAGCTTTCGTGAGCTACAGCTCACTTCATCAGATGTTTACCGTGGAAACTGCAGCAGACTTTATATACACACAGAGAATATGAAACAATACCTCCTCCCACCCCACTGTCCTGCTGGTAATAGCTTATCTAAAGTGATCAACAGGTGGGCCATTTCCAGCACAAATCCAGGTTTTCTCACCCTCCACCCCCCACACAAATTCACTCTCCTGCTGGTGCTAGCCCATCCAAAGTGACAACTCTTTACATAATCAAGTAGGGCTATTTCCTGCATAGATCAAGGTTTTCTCACATCCCCCCCCACCCCCATACACACACAAACTCACTCTCCTGCTGGTAATAGCTCATCTAAACTGACCACTCTCCAAGTTTAAATCCAAGTTAAACTAGAACATCTGGGGGGGGGGGTAGGAAAAACAAGAAGAAACAGGCTACCTTGCATAATGACTTAGCCACTCCCAGTCTCTATTTAAGCCTAAATTAATAGTATCCAATTTGCAAATGAATTCCAATTCAGCAGTTTCTCGCTGAGTCTGGATTTGAAGTTTTTTTGTTTTAAGATAGCGACCTTCATGTCTGTGATTGCGTGACCAGAGAGATTGAAGTGTTCTCCGACTGGTTTATGAATGTTATAATTCTTGACATCTGATTTGTGTCCATTTATTCTTTTACGTAGAGACTGTCCAGTTTGACCAATGTACATGGCAGAGGGGCATTGCTGGCACATGATGGCATATATCACATTGGTGGATGTGCAGGTGAACGAGCCTCTGATAGTGTGGCTGATGTTATTAGGCCCTGTGATGGTGTCCCCTGAATAGATATGTGGGCACAATTGGCAACGGGCTTTGTTGCAAGGATAAGTTCCTGGGTTAGTGGTTCTGTTGTGTGGTATGTGGTTGTTGGTGAGTATTTGCTTCAGGTTGCGGGGCTGTCTGTAGGCAAGGACTGGCCTGTCTCCCAAGACTTGTGAGAGTGTTGGGTCATCCTTCAGGATAGGTTGTAGATCCTTAATAATGCGTTGGAGGGGTTTTAGTTGGGGGCTGAAGGTGACCGCTAGTGGCGTTCTATTGTTTTCTTTGTTAGGCCTGTCCTGTAGTAGGTAACTTCTGGGAACTCTTCTGGCTCTATCAATCTGTTTCTTTACTTCTGCAGGTGGGTATTGTAGTTGTAAGAAAGCTTGACAGAGATCTTGTAGGTGTTTGTCTCTGTCTGAGGGGTTGGAGCAAATGCGGTTGTATCGCAGAGCTTGGCTGTAGACGATGGATCGTGTGGTGTGGTCAGGGTGAAAGCTGGAGGCATGCAGGTAGGAATAGCGGTCAGTAGGTTTCCGGTATAGGGTGGTGTTTATGTGGCCATTGTTTATTAGCACTGTAGTGTCCAGGAAGTGGATCTCTTGTGTGGACTGGACCAGGCTAATAAACAATGGCCACATAAACACCACCCTATACCGGAAACCTACTGACCGCTATTCCTACCTGCATGCCTCCAGCTTTCACCCTGACCACACCACACGATCCATCGTCTACAGCCAAGCTCTGCGATACAACCGCATTTGCTCCAACCCCTCAGACAGAGACAAACACCTACAAGATCTCTGTCAAGCTTTCTTACAACTACAATACCCACCTGCAGAAGTAAAGAAACAGATTGATAGAGCCAGAAGAGTTCCCAGAAGTTACCTACTACAGGACAGGCCTAACAAAGAAAACAATAGAACGCCACTAGCGGTCACCTTCAGCCCCCAACTAAAACCCCTCCAACGCATTATTAGGATCTACAACCTATCCTGAAGGATGACCCAACACTCTCACAAGTCTTGGGAGACAGGCCAGTCCTTGCCTACAGACAGCCCCGCAACCTGAAGCAAATACTCACCAACAACCACATACCACACAACAGAACCACTAACCCAGGAACTTATCCTTGCAACAAAGCCCGTTGCCAATTGTGCCCACATATCTATTCAGGGGACACCATCACAGGGCCTAATAACATCAGCCACACTATCAGAGGCTCGCTCACCTGCACATCCACCAATGTGATATATGCCATCATGTGCCGCATGCCCCTCTGCCATGTACATTGGTCAAACTGGACGTCTCTACGTAAAAGAATAAATGGACACAAATCAGATGTCAAGAATTATAACATTCATAAACCAGTCGGAGAACACTTCAATCTCTCTGGTCACGCAATCACAGACATGAAGGTCGCTATCTTAAAACAAAAACTTCAAATCCAGACTCCAGCGAGAAACTGCTGAATTGGAATTCATTTGCAAATTGGATACTATTAATTTAGGCTTAAATAGAGACTGGGAGTGGCTAAGTCATTATGCAAGGTAGCCGTTTCTTCTGTTTTTTCCTCCCCCCCCCCCCGAGTCTAGTTTAACTTGGATTTAAACTGGAGAGGGTCAGTTTAGATGAGCTATTACCAGCAGGAGAGGAGTTTGGTGTGATGGGGGTGGGGGGTGGAGAAAACCTGATCTATGCAGGAAATAGCCTACTTGATTATGTAAAGAGTTGTCACTTTGGATGGGCTAGCACCAGCAGGAGAGTGAATTTGTGTGGGGGGTGGAGGGTGAGAAAACCTGGTTGTGCTGGAAATGGCCCACCTGTTGATCACTTTAGATAAGCTATTACCAGCAGGACAGTGGGGTGGGGGAGGTATTGTTTCATATTCTCTGTGTGTATATAAGTCTGCTGCGTTTCCACGGTAAACATCTGATGAAGTGAGCTGTGCTCACGAAAGCTCATGCTCAAATAAATTGGTTAGTCTCTAAGGTGCCACAAGGACTCCTTTTCTTTGTGCTGTTTTAATATAGAAATAAAACTCCCTCTCAACGCACATGTTAGGGGGCTTATTCCTTCACCTGCTTACTTCCCTGGTCCTTCTCACATGAACAGAGAGCAATAATACCCGAAGTCCAAAGGTGCAAACAATTTGATGTTTATTGGGGTGAACTTCCAGCTAGCATGATTCCAGTTTCCTT